TGATTGGCAGCCGGGCGCTTTACCCACTGCACCACCAGGGCTCCCCGACACCAACAGCAGGCCCTTATTTCCAGGGGGTGCTCCCCTGAGCTTGTAACAGCATGGGGGTGCTGCACAGCTCATCTAGAGCCAGGTTCCCCTGTTGCCCGTCAGCAGCGGCACTGCCACGAGGGCAGCGGGCGGTTCGGGGTCTGGGCCGGCCGCGGCCGCGTTTGCAGATCGCGCGGTTTCAGCCTGTGACATGGCTCCTTCTGCTCCGCGGCAGGATCTCTTGAAGCACACGCCACCCAGCCACCCCGACCACTCGCTGCTGCAGGACGCCCTCCGGATCTCGCAGAACTTCCTGTCCAGCATCAACGAGGAGATCACGCCCCGCAGGCAGTCCATGACCGTCAAGAAGGGCGAGGTGAGCTGGGCAGGGGCGGCGTGCGTGCCGAGCCCAGTGAGGGGACCCCAGCACCGTTGGGCTGAGGCCCGGAGCCCCTCTCTGCTTCTCAGGAGACTCTCCTGGGGTGAGGCAAATGGCTGGTGATCTCGGCCACTCACCAAAGAGTTGGAGTTGGAGTCCACCTGTAAGAATGGCCTCCAATGTGCTGCGATCAGCCAGCCACTAGGAACACTGTAGGGTGCAGTTCCACCCTGACAGACAGGCGCTAGGAGCCAGCGTCACCCCACCACGGTTGCTTTTCTGTCAGCCCTGTGACAGTTAAGGGTGACACTTTGGGATCCGTGTGTGAGGCACTGGGCTGACAGTGCAGTGTGACCTCGCTCGTCCATGCTCTCCAGACAATTCACTCGCGCCTTGTCTTCCACCGTGGCGGGGCAGGTCCAGGGCACCCTCTCCCCTACACCCTCCCCACGTTTGGGGGGCTCTGACTGAAGAGGTGGTAAGGAGCAGAGCCCCTTGACACCTGCCATACCCACTTAATCCCTCCTGCGCCCCGCTGTCAAACCAGCTGTCGTTCAGTCCACCTCAACGGCGACCTCAGAGTATACGCGCACTCCGTTGGCTTTCCAGTGGCTCGTTTTATGTAAATTGCCAAGCCTTCCTTCCGAGGCACTTTTGTCTGGGCTTGAACTTTCAACCTTTCTGTAAGCAGCTGGGTGCATTCACTGCTTGTACTACCAGGGACTCGCCCTCCTTAAGGAGCCAATGAGCTGCAGCCCCGCCCCTCGGGAGGGCAAACGGCTTGGAAGGAAGGCGAAAGGGCAGGGTTTACTTTTAGCGTGGTGACGTCTTGGCGGGGCGGAGTCGTGGCGGGGCGGGGTCGTGGCGGGGCGGGGTCGTGACGTAGTGACGTGAGAGTGGTTGGAGGGCACAGACATGGTGGTTCTTTCGCTCCTCCCTCATTGGCGGATGGCCACCGACTCCTCATGTGCTCAGGGTATTCGTTGTACAGAGGGTGCAGGGATGAGGCCAAGTCGGCTCCCTCCACTATCAGGGCTCCCGGCGCCACCCTGCCTCCTCGGGCCCTCAGCAGGCAGGCGTACTGTGTGGCTGGCAGGTAACATCTAGCAATCGGAGCCAGTGGGCATGGGTGGCGTGCACGCTGAGACCAGAGGAATGAGTGGTGGGGGGGGTGTCTTGTGCAGGGACAAGGCTGCCTGGCTGGAGGGACCCGGGCAGGCCGGGCCTTTGACAGTTTCGCGTTCACCCTGTGAGCAGGTGTTGGGTTCTCAGGCGGCCAGGGGACTGCCACCCAGCACGTGAGGTTCGTTCCTCTCTGGATCTTGACTGGGAGTCAAGGTCTGTCTTGGGGGGCCTGGCTCAGGGAGGCTGGGGAAGAGGGCTCTACATGCACTTCAGACTCCAGGCTTTGACCCGTGCCAGCCTCACCCACATGCAACCAGTGCCCTGGAGGACCTCTCAGGGCCCTTTGGAGGGGAGGCAAGCCTAGGAGGAAGCCTCCTCCCCCACCCCCACCCCCACCGCCTCCTTCGGTGTCTGGCCTTTGAAGGAGCACAGTTGATGGACCGCCCCTTGCCGGCCAGCACTCGGCAGCAGCCTTTGCTGCTTCTTGTCTCTGGCTGTCCCCAGGCCTTGGAAGCACTCTCACAGGGGACAGCATCAAGCAGGGTGAGCGCTGTACTCCTGGTTGTCTCGGAACCGGAACGGGGGTTCGGATCTTGTTTTCTGCACCAGCAGCTAGTCCGGGCCTTCTTGGGGCCCAAGGCCACACAGCCCTGACCCAGTGTCATGTTCTCAGCTCAGGGATGATAGGAGAGGGTGCTGGTTTGTGCCGTCTCCCACCACCTCTGGGAGCCCTGCTCTTTGCCTGCTGCTCTGACGAGGCTCAGTCCATGCTGGAAGGAAACACAGCCATTCATTCTTCCCTCGGCCTTTCGTATGTATCTGGGTCTGCTCACAGCGTCTCCAAGTGACATTGGGGACCCAGAGGGACGTGCCTGCTTGCCATCCACATCATAGAAGTCAGTCCTCAAGGAGTAGAGGGCAGTCGGGTGATGCCTGGGAGGACAGGGCAGCCAGGCCTGGATCTTGCCTCTGTTCCCCTGGCCTCCTCTTGAGATGGTCACACAGGGACATTGGTGTGGCCGAGCAGGGAGCTCAAGGACTCGGGTTGGTGGTCCAGTTCCAGCCCTCGTTGGGAGGCCCGGTGTGCCAGGTGGACGGGGACCCTTCTCTGTACCCTTGCCAGTGTCTGGCCCTTGAGGCGTCAGGGATGTTTGTGGGAGGAAGGGTCCCTTGTAGACCTGCAGAGGTGGATCTAGGGTAAATAGGGCCCAGGGCGATTAGTGTTAACTCACTGAATGAGCGCTTGTTCCTGGGAGTGGAAACAGTGATGGTGAATAGAAGCTTCTCGGTGGTGCCAGCCGTCCTCTAGGTGGTCTCTGCTTGGTCAGGCACCTTGGGTGCAGTACGGGGGGAGGGCTGCTGACCTCTGGGTGCTGCGTATCCAGCCGCACACATGTGCTCTGTCGAGGGTCTCACCAGCTGCACAGACTAGGGCAGGGGGACTAAGGCCCCCACCTCTAACACCAAATCATGTGGGTAACGAGTCCTGTACACATGCCAACTGCATCCTGTGGAAATGTGTCTCACTTCCCTTCCCCAGCTGCCCACACAGATCTTCTTTCTCATATCCCCAGACACCCAGGGCAGGGTCAGTGGGTACTGGCCACAAGCTTGGGAGCCTGCACTTCAGACCCCAAAACAAAACCTACTGCCGTGGAGTCTATTCCAACCCACAGCGCCCCTAGAGGACAGAGTGGAACTGCCTACAGGGTCTCCAAAGCTGTCGGTCTTCAGGGAGGCAAAGCCCAAACCACACCCACTGCCTAGAGTCCATTCTGACCCACAGCGCCCCTAGAGGACAGAGTGGAACTGCCCACAGGGTCTCCAAGGCTGTCAATCTTCACAGAAGCAAAGCCCA